AAGAGACGTTGATAAATTAGCTTCGATCAGAGAATTTTTTGGAAATTTTGTCACAAATTGCCAAAAGGCTTATACTTTAGGAGAGTATGTGATCATTGATGAGAAGTTGGAATCATTCAGAGGTCGTTGTTCCTTCAAACAAAATATGCCCAACAAGCCAGCAGCAAAGTATGGCATAAAAATATTTGCTCTTGTAGACGCAAGGGTATTTTATACCTGGAGTATGGAAATTTATGCTGGTAAACAACCAGATGGGCCATTTCAAGTTGAAATTTGGTGCAAGCGAAGTTGTCAAACGTTTAATAAGGCCCTTATACAACTCTGGTCGAAATTTAACAGTTGATAATTGGTATATGGGATTTGAATTATCTCAAGATCTCCTAAAGAAGAAAATTACGATAGTAGGTACAATGCGTAAAAAATGAGAGAGAAATCCCACCTGAGTTTCTGGCAGAGAAAAGAGAAGTATATTCTTCAATTTTCGGTTTTCAGAAAGAAGCAACACTTGTATCTTATGTGCCGAAAAAAAATAAGAGTGTGATCCTGTTATCCACAATGCATTCCGGCGATCAAATCGATGAATCTACTGGGGAATCTAAAAAGCCTGAAATCATTACATTATATAACATGACAAAAGGAGCAGTCGATGTTGTAGATGAGATGGCAGCTGCGTATTCTACAGCAAGAGTAGCACGTCGATGGCCTATGGTGATTTTCTTTTCAGTGTTAAACGTGGCTGCCATTAATGCAAGAATAATTCTACTATCAAAGAAGGAACCACCAACGGAATACCATACCAGGCGTACTTTTCTCAAAGCCTTAGGGATGCAGTTAATAGAAAGTGTTCAAAATGAACGACGACGAGCATCTGTAGTTCCTGATTCTAGACAAACACTGACCACCGATGAACATGTTAACAATGAACCACCCCCCAAAAAAAAAAACCTAAATTACTTACAAGAGGTGTACAGAGTGCCCCAAGAAAAAAGATAGAAAGACTAGATACATTTGTGAAAATTGTAGCAAAAGTACGAGTATATGTATGGAACATATGACCTCATTTTGTAAACAATGTTCAAAATATATTGTAAGTAAATAATTTTACCTCTCCTTATTCTTTCATATTTTGTCTAAAATGAAGTATTAACTTGGTTTTACATTTTAATTTCTTTTAAAAATCGATTAATTTTATTCGGCAAATTTTTAATTACAAACGTTTTATTCGGGTATGACATACCCGGCGCGTGTTCTAGTGTTCGTCGGATCGGTGCGTGTGCTCGCAGGTTAAATGAAACTTTGTTTTTCCTCTGGAAAAAAATCCAAATAGCTTTATGTAAGAATCATTAAAGAGATCTTCATCAATAACAATGTGTTAATTAATGAAAACTATATACTTGTGTCTATATCAATAATAATAAGGCCCTTATACAACTTTACAAACTCTTTCCTTTGAAATCTGTGTATAAGCCTTAGTAATCTCAAGGTGTGAGATTTATAATGTTGTAATATTCTGAAAAGTCACTTGACTTTAATATGTATGCAAGTTTCATGAAAAATTAAAAGCTGTATAATTTGCATCCATACATAAAAGCAAGAAGCTATGTATACATAAATTCTACAGTTTTACTGTGTGGAGCAAATCAACAAAAGCATTATCAAAGCATCACTATCAACAGTTTCATCACAAAACAACTACATTGCAGAGCATGTTTCCAAAGTATATCAATTTTTTAAAGTACTGATTCTACTGAAAATGTATTGTTTACAAGATAAATAAATAGCTCTTGCATGCTTCGCCACTTATAAAATTTTTAAAGATTTTATTTTTATTTCTGTTATTGGTTGTCATATATCTGCATACTTTTGCAGCCCAATGATTTATTTACTGTATGAAATTTATTAATCAATTCTCTTGGAATAATTTAAGTTTTCACTATTCATAAATTGTTATTGTAATCACTAGCGATTCAAAAATGCTCGATAACAAAATACAGTAGCATTTTCAAAAACACTAAGATTTACACTTATATGAATTTAAGAATTTTAAAGCACTTATTATATTTTTGTGGCATTTTTAATCATTTATTTAGAGAAATACCAGCACACTCTGATTTGTCAGCAGATACTGAATTATGATTTTCCTTTGTAATAATCAAGTGCGATTGTTATTCCTATTATGTTCTCTATCTGTATATGATGTTACTATCTATATTTGACTGAATCTGTAACTGCATATTTCATGCTGAAACTTTTAGTTCTTTTGCACATATTGTTGTGATACGTCCTAATAAACACATTATATGTCGATGTTTTGTAAAATGATGTTGCTAACTGTACTGTATGTGTACCATCAACTGGAGAACTTTACACTAATAATTTAGTAGTGAAATACTGCGACAGAATATGCAGATCAAAAACTGATTAATAAATTACTTGTGTAACTAGCAAGGATGAAGTAGTGACAAGATTAAGAGCATTTTAAATTTATATACTGTTTTTAATTCATCATATTTTAATTTATAAACTATTTAGAGATTATTTATATACAATATATTTACATGATGAGATATCAATATATGCATGATCAAAAGAATCATGAATTATAAGAGTTTCATTATTTCCAATGGCATCTATAGCAGCTTTCTTGTATGAAGTTGTTGCAATATTTTCAGTACTGCATGGACTTTTTCTTTTCTTTCTCGTAAAAAAGAAATTCTTTTGTTTCTCTGCTTTTTTATTTGTAGGTTCATAGTTCACCATTTTCAATTTCGGCTTTTCGTTCTTTAATTTTGTAATCACTTTATTCAGTGTGTTTTCAATATCTCCCAAAGTTATATTATTTACTGTTGTTGATGTTACAAGTTTTGATATGATACTCAGTTGATCTATAATATATGGTGCTTGGTTCCTGATTTTTTAAATTTTTGTGCTGATAGATCAAGAAAGGTTTTACATCATTTGATTCTTTAGTTTTAGCTGGACTGTTCTCTATTAGGTAATCTTGTCTTTAAAATTATTGCATGTATATGTTTACAGACACTTCCTTTAATCGTGGCATCTGTGCATGTGCATACAAATGCATCGTTACAAATTTTGCACCATTTACAAACAATGTTACAATTAATGCATTGTGTATGTATTTGAGTAACAGTATATTCAAGAGTAGGGTCACTTTCTGAAATCACATGCCAAGAAAACTCATTGATTTCTGTGATATTATTAGCTGGAAAATTTATTGCTCTGTTGTGTCGTAAATTTGTTTGGTTGATCTTTGATGTGTTTGGCCCTTTTGTTGTTTTGATAAATCTCTGGAACCATTTATCTTGCACCATATTAATAAGCTTCGCAATGCACCTATCAACCCTCTTGTTTTTCAATCCATCAAGATAAGAATATTTTAAAACTCGATGCAGTGCTTCAAGATGATTGTTAGTTGTGATGTTACATCTTTTTCTATAACATTTAGCCCACAACTCACATCTGTTTGCATAATTTGAAGCAAAATAATTAGCAAACTTGTCTGTATCTCTATCAGCAAAGAGTTTGCTGAGGAAATCAGATATCAGTGCTTCAAATTCTTTTATATCATGACATTCAGATACTACATTTAAAAATTTCAAAACTTCCTTTCGCTTTGAGGGGATAATTGAATTTGCTGCTTGCAGCCATGCCTTTTTAACGTGCCAGGTGCATAGAATCCTAAATTTGGCATCACACATTACTGATGTCCATGCAGTATAATATACTGGTGCATCATCACTCATAAAGCAGTTTACAGACAGCAGTCCAACTTTGTCCCTAATACACTGAAAAAATTTTTGCATTGAACCTAAATTTACTCTATTGCTTAGGCAAAAAGCAGCAGGAAATCCTGAATTAAACTCGTCTATGACTAAAACTGTCGATAATTGAAAATCGTAAGCATTAGTCCCATGTGTGCTATCGATGCATATGCTATCGGATCCAAACTTTAAAAGCATATGCTTTTGAACATTTGTCATTATGATGATGCAGAAGTCACTAATTTCCAAGTGCTGATCTGCTGCTTCTCCTTGGAATTTTACAAAAAGAACTGGATTATCATCTAAACATTTCATTTTTTTCTATCCAGATCCTTAAAAACTGACAGCATCAGTTGGATGATATTGTTCATCATTACCAATACAGTAAGAATTAGAAATGTTATGTATGTCTTTTTTTGTCAATAAATGCTCCCTGTAAATGTCTTCTTTAATACTATTCCTTGTGGAATCTAATATTTTCTGTGGTGGAATGCCTTCATTTAACTTACCTGAAAATATTGCATTTATATGATAATGTTGTATAATAATGTCTGTTTTATATTGAATTTCACAATCAAGTTCATAAAGAAACTTACCTGCAATCACTTCTCGCAAATCTTTTGTTAACGGCAAATGTTCTAGATCTACTGTGTGTCCCACGTGTGTTTGGAAATATAAAATCTTAATAATGCCATTACTGGTAACTTCAATAGTAGATGGACAGTGCCCCTCTATTTTGCAGGTACCTTGTGATTTTATAGCTCTTACACCTTTACTTTTAGAATTATAAAATCCAGATCGATTACAAAGGAAGTAACTCTTTTTCCCACCTTCTTTAAGAGTTATTGTACTTCTCAAAAAGTAAGAAATTTTTTCAAATTTTTTCCCTTCGTTCTTCCTCACTTTTCCATTGTAAGAAATCTAAATTTGAAGGGTAAACATTAGCCTACATACAATATAAAAGCCCATTATAATTGTGAACTAGTTGAATCTTTAAAACAAAATTACTAATTTAAAAACTAACCAAAATCTTATTTTGGCACTGATTGTAAATAGATACTGGTCACTTTAGCAGAATTTTTTTCTCTTCAAGAAGAGGGACCTGTGTCTAATTGCTCTCAAAACTGATAGTTTTATTTAAAATCTACACTGAAATAAAGTTGCCTAATTTTAAGTCAGGGGCGTAGCTAGAGGAGGGCATCTGTCCCCGGGCGCAGAATCCGAAGGGGCGCACCAAACTGATGTTACGACATTTTAGAATTAAATGTTTTCCATCCTTGGCAAGCAGTAGAGGGTGCGAAACCTTCAGTTGTCCCTGGGCGCTGAAAACCCTAGCTACGACTCTGTTTTAAGTTGTACATTGGCATATTTTTCTTCCTATTTGACAGTTACTAGTACTCGTGTTCCAGCTAAACAAGACTTAAAACATATTCCCCAAAGTTGTATAATAATGCAAGAAATTTATTCTTAAGAGACAAATTGTCATCAGACATTTTCCATAACATGAGTGTCATCTGGCCTATGTCTAAAGTAAAAAAACATTGTAGCCTGTTTCTTGATAACTGATACAATGTGTATAGGTTATTAAAATTTTAAGACATTCGAATAAATTTCTTTAAGTAGTAGTTTTAAAATAACATATAATAAATTTTAAGCCTCATTTACATATAATAAAATAAGTGTCTATCATTATGATACTAAACTTACAATTGAAGGTTGCCACTTTAATAAAGATTTTAACAATTTTTTTATTAGGTCCACATTATTTTTGATATCTTCATCATACATATGCATTAAGAGATCCGTTTGTGTAATAACAGGATAGTCTTTTTTTTTTTAATGAAGCACTGAATTACATGTATAAATAATTATGTAGCAGTACATCTCTATATATGTTTTTATTATTTAGAAAATGTTTACTTCATATTTCAAATAGTTGAGGAAGAGAAATATTACTTAATCTTAATATTATTAATAATAATTATTATTTGAAATATTTTTACTGAAGAATAATGGGGGTTTATCAGGCTAACAGAAAAAAGCAAGATGCTAAGGAAATTATTCTGTTATCAATTATACTCACAAAAATAGATGTATTTTATTCCCCAACTTGATGAATGAATTTGCAAAAATAGTAATTTGTACTCAGTTTGGGGCTAATTCAAATTAAAAACGTTTATCGCAGAAAATGCAAATTTCTAATATCTTACCTTCATATGTATTAAATGTCATTTCAACGGAGTTAAGAGTGTATCCATGTTGATCTCTTGCGTGATTTCTTAACTCTTCAAACGTTCTACATGAAAAATTGCAGGCATTAATAGGACATTTCAAATTTCCTTCAGCCACAACAGGTACTTTATGTACTTCCCGAATGTGTTCATATAAAACCTTTTTCTTTTTGTACTTTTTGCAGCAGTACATACATTCAAATACTGCTATCTTTTCATATTCCATTGTTATAACAAAAAGTTATGTACTACAATAGAAAATAAAAAACTTATTTTGTCATCAGAAATATTAAAAAAATGAATAAAAACTGTAGCATATATTAAAATATTTAATGTTTGACACAAAAAAATGGTAGCATATGATATTAAAATATTTAATGTTTGACACAAAAAATGGTATAAAATATTTAATGTTTGACTGAAACTAACACGGTTTGCTATTCTGAAACATTTTTCATTTTCCTTTGTTCAACAAAGGAAATTTCAGCTAAATTTATCTGTTCTCAAAAGGCAATATATGAAAAATAAATAGATTACAAAAAGTTTGTCTCAAAAATAAATACTTTACAATAATTTGTAATCACGTGTTTAATTACAAGCAAACAATATCTAAATTACCAATTAAAATATTTTATCAAAAAATTCTTTTAGCTCGCCAAAAAAAAAATATCACTGCAGAGCTCAGAAAACAAGCAACCGAAAATGGCAGGTAATCCTGTGGGGGTAAATCTAAAACACCCCGCTTTTGACGTCACATGTGACGTGTACCGTTGACCAATCAAATTTTCCTGCCGATTGAAATTTAGTCGCTCCAGAGGAGCTTAAGAAGGAAGGTTAATCAATGAATCGGCCACTTTTTTATCCCGAGAGGGTTGTCATTGCAATTTTTTTTTTTTTTGAAGCATGTTGTATTATAGGATATAAATAGATTCTCGAAAAAAATTCCGAGCATTATTTTTTCACGTAAGTATTAATTTTTTTTTTTATGTAATATGACAACTATGTCAAAAAATATCACATGTCATGTGGTTTTCTTTCAGATGTGAAAAAAAGGACTAAATAGGTTAGTTAATATCAAATATTTAAATACATTTTAATGTTTCTGTTTATAGCTGGTATTCGTTCCTTAAGATACATGCTATATGGTAGGAGTTAAATTGTTATAATTTGTTCGTTAACATTAATTTTTATAACTGTCATGAAAAGTAAGAAATCAATTGTTACTATTTTTATTAATTGTAAAGGGTTAAATAAAGCAATGCTTTTCTTTATATATTAATTATTATTCATTTTTAAAGTTAATAAATGTTCGTTGTTAAAAAATTTTTGTATAAACTACAAATTTCTGAGCAGATAGTGATAAAATTAAGTCAAATATTTACACATTTGAACATGTGGAAAAGTGTATCCAAAAACTTATATAGGTGTATTTCTGTAATTCAACTTATTAAAAGCAGTTTCTTTGAGATAATAATATGAAATGCGCATAAACTGAAATCAATGAATTCTATTTTATTTATTAAGATTTATTTTCTAACCTTAGCGAATCCGTGAATATGCAGAAAAAACATCATTTTTTAAAGGCTTTAATGTATGCGCATGCATTTAGATTCGAACTATTTCTTAACAATTTTGCTGTACATAGTAAATTATGGATATCATCTTTATTACTTTAAAACCAAAATTCAACAATAGCGGGGGATTTCATTATAAATTTAACATAATTTTACTGGAAAATAAATGCACGGAACAGCTTAGAAACACGTACATGTCACTGCCGTAATGCAATGTTTTGAAGTCACAAACATGGACGCCGCTTGTTCGGCGGAGTTTCATTCCCCGATAGTGGAGGAAACTGCGAACCCTCCCTCCTTCTATTCTAACCTCCTTGTCGCAAGCGTACTCGTTTGGACACTGGTAATGTAAAACCGCGTACGTTAGCTACGTTTCGAGCGTACTCGTGTGGACGGGCCTTTATGCATCCATCGCATTCTTGGTTCGAAAAATATTGAACAAGATAGCAAAACGAAGAAAGGAGTGGATTCGCGTATTTCGAAATGGAAAGAAAGTTGGACATTAAACGAAAGTGCGTTCTAAGCATTTAAAAAACTGATTACATTTTTTCTCCTAAGAAAAGTTTTCTTTATATATGCTAAATTTGGTTAATCTTCGGATTATGGTAACTTGGCGATTTTTTGGCGACCAACCCTGCTAGTTTTTTTTTTTTTTTTTTTTTTTAATACTCAACATTTTTTTCCAACAATCTGCTAGCCGAATTACGCTTATGCTAGAACTTTTTTGGAACAAAAGTGCTTAGTCATGACGAAGATTAGGTGCGAAAATGGAGAAAGTGCAGAATCGCCCACTGCTTGCCGCGTTTTTAAGAACTGCACATACACGGTATCCATGTACACGTCGAGCTATTTTCACTTAAAAAAAACATCCCAGAATTGCACAAAAATGGCATTGCGTACACTCTTGACTTTATCCATGTGCACTGCTAAAGTCCTAGCTAGTAACCTTTATCGCCTTACCAAAATGTCGCCAAACTACCTTTACCATATTCCTAAGATTAGGCGAAAATTTCTTTCTCACATATTATATGTATAAATAAATGCGTATGTGTGTTCTTGAAAGTAAACATGCTTATTTGTGTATTGAAGTATAAATCATTATAGCTCATTGATCTCTTAAATATTATTAATACAGTCAAAAGTTGTTAATCCGGACTCGTAGGGACTTCGGCGATTCCGGATTATAGATCATCAGTTTAAATCTCGTAAGATGGCATGCAGAAATTCTAAAATTAAAAATATGAAACCGGAATTTATGAAATAAAGAACAATTATGATCTAAAGGGTATAAAAATTTACCAAAAAAAAAAAAAAAAAAAAAGGCCTTAATATTTATTTGTTTACTTTATTAAACATTTCTTTCAATGCAAGTCGTTTAAGTTGCTTTGTTTTATGTGATAATACTTTCTCTTTAATTCCATAAACAGACATAATTTCTTGTTCAGTTACAAAGTTCCACTGTTCAAGTCCCGTAATTGCTGTGCCGAGAATACCAACTAACTTGTCAATC